GCATGGCCATCGCCCCTGGAGGGTGATTTCTCGCTTTCTGTCTCTCTGTCACTCTCTTTCTGGTGAGCACACACCCCCTATAGCAAAAACCTCTCAAAAAAAAAAAAAAAGTTTAACCTCCAGGGAAATTAACTTAACAATATTTCTACACAGAATGGTTTCTTAAACTAGTACAGTAAAACTTCAGACTGTTTTGTTTCTAGCCCATTTAAGATTAGTCAAAGTGATATAAACCATTAAACTTTGTATTAAGTTTATTTAAAAAAAATAAATAAGGACCAGCTGATGGCATAATGGTTACGTCACTGGACTCCTATGTAGCTGACCGCAGTTTGAGTCCTGGAGCCGACAGCTTAAAACTCACTGGACTCCCATGTAGTTGACTGCGGTTTGAGTCCCAGACCTGGTGGCTTAAACTCACGCCACATGTGCGTGTGTGCCCAAGATCCTGAGAGCAGAATGGAGGAGAAGGGATTGCAGCATAGCCATCCCCCTGGGGGGTGATTTCTCACTTTCTGTCTCTCTGTCTCTCTCTGTCTGTCTGGTGAGTGCACATGCCCTATAGCAAAAATATATTAAAAAAATATATATATAATGCTAAGTATACTGTAGAAAGACATATGCATGTACCTGTATGTATGTGTGTATACATATATAATTTGATTTAGCAGACATATTCCTGGGAATTTTTATTATAACAATAGAAGTATTGGTATCTAAGGATGTGTATGTAAGATGTCTATTCCTGCATTGTATGAAGTAGTTAAACAAAAGAAAATAAACTAAATCAAACCCCTAGAAACAAAGGGGATGTACCAACAGGGGACTGTCTAATTATTCTTTGATACATCCAAACTATGAAATAGAATATAGTCATTGAAATTAATGAGTGATAGTGTTTATTATGTGATAAGAGCAGATTTAATATGATAGCATACTATTTGACTTTTATAAGTATGTGTCTATATGAAATCATACATGCATATCCATACACACAGTTGTCATATGAATAGGGAGAAAACTATGAAAGAAAGGAATTCTTTTGGATCATATTGGATTCTGGAGAAGAGGAAAGAGAGGCAAGCAAAATGACAAAGAAAAATTGTCTCAAGAAAAACATTGTGGACATATGTGAGGTCTCTCATTGAGACATTTGTGTAAAATCAATGTATGTAATATGTATAAAGACATTAAATATTTTGAAAAGGAAAAATAGTAATTTATATATACATATACACACACATGTATACACACATATACATGTAACACAGTACAAAGAATAGCATATAATTTACCATCCAAGGAATGGTGGTGGTGATGTGTCTTACAACACAACTATAGGATAACAAAATACCCCCTTATAGCAACATGACTTGATCAAGTGCAGACCCTTAGAAAAGTATGATGCTTGGTATTAACTGCAGTGTGGTAAGAGTAACCTTTTAAGACATACGCAATAGAGAATGTATGAGTAAAACACCAGTTATAAACTGTGCAATTTACTCATTATGTCCTAGAACAAGGACCACCATCTAATGAGAGGGGGCCTCTGCCTTATTGGAGCTGAAAGCAAAGTGGGTAACCCTTGCAATGAAATAGTAAACTAGTAAAATATAATTGCAAATCAATAGGAAGTTGTATAAATTGGGAGTGATATTGTGACTGTTGACAGAATTTCTCTACAAAGCTAAGATTTAATACTGTGCTCATTATTTATGGAATGTTGACAAAAGAAATGACCACATGGTTATTACTGCATCATTTCTAAAGTTGTAATTAATGATATGAAATGTAATTATAAAAACACACGTTTCTTAGAGTTTGGAATTGTGAAAAAGTTTGCGGCCCCTGACAAAACTTCAGCTTCGTTGTTATTACTTAACAAGACATCTAAATGAGACATCTAAAATTCATCCTTCCTACCTTTTTGCAGTGCCTGTAAGAGTTTGATTAAAGTCCATTAAACTTTCCTAGTAGTATTCTCTTTCTACTTCATAATGCCCTCACCTCTCTACCATTAAATTTTTTTCCACTGCTTCTTTTAAAGACTTTGAAATCTAGCCCCTAATTTATATGTGCATGGGATAATTTAATGTTACAAATTCCTACTAAATATGGCTTTTAATGTTCACAGAAAACATTTTTTGTCTGATTGTTAAAAATTGTTTTTAGGGCCAGCTAGTGGCATGGTGGTTGGGGTGGCTGGGTCTCACATGGCATATTGTGTACTTCAAGTCCCAGACCCTGTGCTCTGGAAAACACCAGGCATGTGTGTGCATGCCCAAAATTCTGAAGGGAGGAAGAAATGGAGAAGGGGTTGGGGTGTAATCATCCCCCATGTACAGATGCTTTCTCACATTCTCTCTCTCTCCAGTGAATGCACATGCTCACTGGAAAATTAGAAAAATTATTTTCAATTGATGCACAATTTTTTCATATGCATTGAGCACAGTATGAGTTCAGTATATCAGTACAATGAGTAATGATTAAATTGGGGTCATTGTTGTATTTATCATATCCAACATTTATCATTACTTGGTAGGAACATTAAAAATCCTCCCTGTCTCCCTAACCACTTTCTTTTCAATTGATGAATTTAGAGTGACTTTACCCCTCAGAGGGAGCTCTCTATATATTCCTCAACTCTGCCGCTATGTCAGAAATCCCCAGATGAAATGCAGATGATAGGGCTGTCTTTTTCTTAAGTTATTAATCTCCTCTCGGATCTTGGAAAATCTTGCAAAATTAAAGCTCGATATCACATTCAGGATGTTGATATTGATACACTTGCCCAGTAGAATTTATATTTCCTCAGGATTTTTGTACATGTGTATGTGTGTGAGCATGCATGTGTGCATTTCTATATATTATCTATACATTATTACTTGTGTAACTATGATCGGAGTCAAGATACAAAACGGGGCTGGTCAGTGGTGCAGCAATGGTGAATCACAATGCTCCACATGGCAGACTCACATGAAAAGGCTGCCGGTTCAGGGACCAGCAGTCAGCGTAATGGCTATGTCGGTGAATTTCTGTGTAGTTGACCGCAGTTCAAGTCCCAGACTGGGTGGCTTAAAATCATGCCAGGTGTATGTGCATGCGTGCACAAGATCCCAAAAAGAGAATGGAGGAGAAGGGATTGCGGCATGGCCATGCCCCCTGGGGGGTGATTTCTCGCTTTCTGTCTCTCAGTCTCTCTGGCAAGCACACGTGCCCTGTAGCAAAAACCTCTCAACAACAACAAAAAAAAAAAAAAAAACCCCTCAAAAACAACAAAAAAAAAAAAAAAAAAAAAAAAGAAGAAGGCTGCTGGTTCATATTCAGAGACCTCCCTGAGTACACTGGGCATACATGTGCCCATGATCTGGGATGGCTGAAGTCGGGAGGAGATTAATGCATCAGGATCCTGTTGGGAGTGAGATATCTCTGGATCTCTTACTCAGGGATTAAATAAACTCAAAATAAAATGGGCCTATTTCTAAGGCATGGAAGTTTAAAAATCTATGCAAAATAGTTTCATTACTACAAGGATCCTTCCTATTGCCCTTTTACCACAAACTGCCTCAACCTACTGCCCCACAGATCTTACTCCCATCGCTAACCTCTGGCGACTGCTACTCCATTCTCCATTTCTATAATTGCATCTTTTCAAGAACCATACAGTATGAATTTGAGATTGACTTTTCTTTCTACTTAGCATAATTCCCATGAGATTGATCTAAGTTTCTGTGTGCATCAGTAGTTTTTGTCAGGGCCAGCAGTTGGCGTGGTGGTTAAGGGTGCTGGACTCCCATTTGGCCTACCGTGGTTCAAGTCCTGGACCTGGCTGGCTTGCTTTCTCACTTTCCCGCTCTTGCTCTTGTTCTCTTGCTCTGGCCCTCTCTGGTCAAATTTAAGTAAATAAATAAATAAAGTTAAAATAATTCTTAAAAAAAAAATAGGTTGCCTCTTTTCATTGCTGAGTGTTATTCCACATGGTGGCTGTAGCACCGTGTAACTTTTCATCCTTGAAGGGCATCTGGGTTGTTCCCAGGTTTTGACAAATAAAGCTGGTGGGAACACTTAGGTACAGGCTTTTGTGTAAACATGTTTTCATTACTTTGGGATGGATGTCCAGGAGCCCAGTGCTGGATTATAGGGCAAATACATGTTCGGTTTTGTGAGAAATTGCCAAACTCTTTTGCTGAGTTGACTACCATTTACATTTTGGACAGCAATGTTTGAATGATCCTTTCTCTCTGCATCCTCTTCATCATATGAAATAGTCACTGTTTTTCTGTTTTAGCCATTGTGATAAGTGCACAGTAATATCTCATTGCGGTTATAATTTGCATTTCCCTAATGGCTAATAGTGTTGAATATCTATTCATGTGCGTATTTGCCTAATGCTTATGTTTAACCCGACTCCACCTGGAAATGGTGGTTTTAAAAGGACAGGAGACATAAAGATTTGCATTGAAAAATGAAACGCTGCCAGATTTTGATTTCCAAGTCCAGTCCTAGATAAAGAGAGCCAACCATTAGCTCCATTGTATAGTACAATTCTTACAAATTTTTTTTCTAAAGCAGAGGCATTTTAATCAAATGCAGGAACCCTCCATTGTAATAGCACCTCTCTGAGCTAGATAGAAGGACTGATGAACTTTCTTTTTTTGAGTTTTAACTTTGTACTAGGAAGCATGTCTTAATTTCAGGCATCCTTTATGAGTTATCACTGTTATATTTTTTATTCAGAAATACTGTGATTGGCCTCTTTAATCTGCACTAATCTGTTCGTACGTTCATTTTCTATCTTTGTGAATGTGTTTGGGGATGCTTATTTGTTTTGAAAAGTGAATTTACAAAAGCATTGTTTCATTTATAGATTATTTGTAAAAAGTTGTAATGCTGCTTAGGCTCTGAATATCGCTAAATGTGATTACCTTTACCTTTTTTTTTTCTTTACAAATAGGCATTTGGGCTCTTTCCTTCAAATGTTTTCCCCTTCTCTTTCATAGGTTGATTTAGTGAATATCGGAAGCACAGACATAGTAGATGGAAATCATAAACTGACTCTTGGTTTGATTTGGAATATAATCCTCCACTGGCAGGTAAGAATCTTGATGAATGTTTCCTTAGCGAGTCGTTAATCCTTTCATTTTCACACTTGACCTGGAAAATAAACATGGGTATCTCCATAATGCTACCTTTAAAATTAGCACAGCTCATGTCATCTGAGATGTGACGGATTAACAGATTATAAAATAGATTCTGATACATTTGTAGGAATATTTTTCTAAATTTTTTTTCATTGGGTAGAGATGAGGCAAAAAAGACAAAGTCCCAACCATAGATTAATAAAAATATTTTTCACAAGCATATGAATTCTATAACTTGCCTATAAGGAATCTACATAGTTTTATAAAAAGAGAGGTCTTCTTCCTAATTACTATCAAAGGATTGAGCCTTTGCTAATATTGTGTATTCTCATTGTTAGCTAATGCCAATGAAAGATTACCAGTGGAGACAGCATGTGACATAGTGGTTAGGACGATGGATTCTCACATGGCTGACCACAGTTTGAGTCCTGGACCCAGCAGCTTGAAACCAAGGCCAAACATGAGTGTGTGCATGGCCAAAAATCCTGAGAAAAGTATGGGGGAGAAGGGATTTTGGGGAGGGGGATTTCTCTCACTTTCTATCTCTCTGTCTCTCCAGTGAGCACACAGGTCCTATAGCAAAAATCTCTCTCTCTCAAAAAAAAAAAAAAAAGAAAAATTGGTAGGAAATGAACATATGTATGGATATCTGTGTTATATACACAAAATCACTTCATAATCTGATTTGGAGTTTGCATTTTTTCTAAATCATCTGAATATAAGGTTTTCTCAATGTTTCTATTAATAAAACATCTGCAAAACAGATCAAAGGTTTTTTGGTTTACTGAAAAAGACTATGCAAATATTTAGTCAAACCAACATGAGCTTAAATGTAAACTTCTCCACTTACCATCTCAGTGGTATTGGTATAAAACCATCCTCTTCTGGGCCTCAGCCCTTTCACTGCCAAAAGACAAAAATTAAAATGAACATTTGTATAATTCTCAGCATTAAATGAGAGAATATTACTTAGTATAGTGCACCATTTTAATTTGAGGTGTATCATATGAATGACACTGATTGCTTAGGGCTTTCTACTCATATTTTAGGAATTTAGAGGATCCTTGAGATATGTCTGCCTTTTTTTCTAGTAGATTGAGATATCATTTTTTAAACCATACATTTACCCATTCTATGTATAAAATTTAATTGCACCAACCTGGTTAGGTACTGTTGCTCAGTTGTATCTCAAACTATCTTGAAGAACAATCCCTCCTCCCCACAATTTATCAAAGTTTTAAGGCTATTCACAGCATTGTAAAAACCACCATAGTAGCCTAATTTGGGCACTTTTCTACCATTCCAAAAAGTTTTTTTTTTTTTTTTCTTAATCATTTGCAGTAACTTCTACCCAGTCCTTGACAACCGTTGGTCTATTTCTGTTTCTCTGTATTTGACTTTTTTTGACATTCTTTATCAATGGGATCTACAACATGTATTCTTTGTCTGACTTCTTTCACTCAGCATGATGTTTGAAGTCCATACCTATCATAGCACATGTCAGTACTTCATTTAGAAAAATTGATTCTTGAACTGTAGATTGGCCTTGCTCAGAGTCAGCATGGTGTAGACGAGAAATGTACCCTATTCAAAGTACTGGCCACCTTACTTTCTCAATTGTCTCAATATATTTTTATTCCAAATACTCTGAACAGGCTTAGCTCTATTTTACAGCAATATGGGAAGAGAGACAGAGAAGCCATAATCACTGGGAAAAGAGTTCTCTTGAGAGCCTTAAATAAGGCCAGGTTGCCCCATTTTCAGCCATTTCTATGTAGTGATATTGTCAAATAGAACCAGCAAAGCAGTATACGCCATCTCCCATCAAAATGTTGTAGTTCTATTGCTCAGTGCTTTTCAAATTATCTTGAGAAAGGAAGAGTTTTCCCCCAGTCCACTGTATGCAAAATACAATAAAAGCGAAGTATTACAAAAATGAAGCAATATACATAGGGCCCAAGCTTTCTTTTCATTATTAAATACAGCAGACTTAAATAATGCACTGTAAAAATGCTACAGGTGTTTTAAACATACTCTCAGTCATTGCATTTATCTTACACAAATAGCGTATGGAGTGACTCGGTTTGCAGACCACACTTAGAGTAACACAGACATTGGTTGTGACAAAGCCAGAAAGAACTCAGGCATACACAGAACCCCAGAATGCTCTTTTAATCGTATTTATCATCCAGGTGAGCTCTCATATAATCTCGCCCTTTCTTATTGCCTCAGAACTACTTCCAATTCCATCTCAATGTACTCTAAGACAGAGAACTTCAAGACGGTCCTGCTTGATATTTTCTTCATTTGCTTGTGAATTATTCATTTTTATTGTTACCATGTAGAAGAACACTCATATGCAGGATTACCAGAAGGAATGCTTTTTCAGTCTTTTTTGTCTGAGATTTCCCTTATAAGTCCATTGTTTTTCATCTGTGTCCTTGAATCACCATAGCTTGTGATTTCAAGGATATAAACGCTAACCAGTCTCCACTGACTTATTTCCCTTTCTTTTGTATCATATTATCCTAAACTAAAAATATTAAACACATTTTAAAAAAATTTTCCTGGGGTTGCTTGGTGGCACAGTGGTTAATACAACACTCTGCGATACTGGAACCACATGGGAAGGTCCTTGGGTTTGCATCCTGAGGCCTTTCTGTATATACTGGTCATGCGTGTACATACCTACATGCCCATGATCTGGGCTGGCTGAGGCTGGAGGTAGGTTGTAGTGTGAAGACCTTTTTGGAGGTGTCTCTCTGTCTCTGTCTCTCTTTCTCTGAAGAAATAAATAAATAAACCTTAAAAAATGCTAAAAAAATTTATCCTGCTTAGTGCTGCTCATTGCAATCCAGTGAATTTCAAAAGACATTTTCAGCAAGATTGCAAATGTGCCTTCCTATTAAATAGTAGAATAAGCCGTTGAACCTTAACAAAGATTAAAGGACACTTGGCCAACTTAATATACTTTCCAAGTCTATCAGATTGGGAACGGCATTAAGAGATGGAAAAATGTGAATTCTTTCTTCCAATGCCATGTCCTATGTTATAAATAGTGCTGTGCAGGACTTCTCTTTGAACTTGTGAAAACTCAGGAATGCTGGCTCTATTTTTCCATTACTGTTTTTCTAGTTTCCACTTCAAATAAAATTGTTAGCCTGAAAAACAATGTGTATTTTGAAGCATAGGCAGCTTTGAACCAAATTGTGAAGGAGACAACGTGTGTTTGGCATTTTTTTTATTTTCCTTTCTTTTAAAGTGCAAACCATTCTTTTTAGAGTAGTAAACTTGGTGTGGGCAACCAGCTGGAGACAAAAACAAATCTTGCTAACAGTGGTGTGCTATCAGAAGTCAGGTCCCCACCTTTGCTGGCTAAGTCAAGGGAATTACTCAGTTCCAGAGCTAATTCACACTGGACTTTTTAGTATTATTTTTATTTATACCATATACAATTACAAGAGCATGATAAATTTGGCCCTGCTGAAAGCTGCTCCTATATAAACCAGCTCTGTGTGCATCACATCATTTTAGCCCAGTTAACTCCTAATGACTTACAAAAAAAAAAGAAAAAAGAAAACACTGATAAGAGACATTTTAGCTTTTTCCTTTTAAAAGTAGGTATGTACACACAAAATAACCCACAAATAAACACATACATTTATTTAAATTGAGTCCATTTTAGGAACAGTAAGAAAATTTTCCTGAAGGTAGAAAAATTTTCTGATTAAATATTTACCTTTAGGAACACTCTTTACTTTAAAACAAACAAACAAAACAAAACAAAACAAAACAAAACTTAATTTTCTTCTATGCATGAGGGAGACAGAGAAGAGAGAGAGATCCCTCCAATAAAGTTCCAATGCTTCAATCCACCCACAGCTTACCACCCACCAGCACTGAATCATGGGTACAAGCATGTCCAATGCCAGTGTACCTAGGATTGTGTCCAGACTTGAACTTGGAACTTCCCATGTGGGATTGACTCACAGAGCATTGTATCTTACTATCGTGTCACCATCTGACCTCTTAGCTATTTCTTGAAAAGTGTCCTTCATGAGAGAAAAGAAATGATTATTATACATAGCCCTTTATTTTATCGGGTGATCTGAAAAGTCATGATAGCTTTTTCTTTAATTAATTCATTTATTTCAGAAACATTTTTTTAATTAATTTACATTCATTCCCTAAGCTTCGTCACAGCATACAAAATGTGATTTCCCATCCAAAATTTACTGCATAGCAGCTTAATCTACAAAAATGCATCATGACTTTTCCAGTGCACCAATATTTCTCAGCAACATTTACACTCAATTAGAAGCAAAAGAAATGAGGCTGAAGCTGATAAGCTGATTTAGTGACATAATCATGCTAAAGGAATTTGGGGTTGAGTACTGTGTTGTCCTTTAACATTATGTACATAGAGGGCAGGCTGGCCAAATATTTCACAATTGAATCCAATTCCTCATGGAGGGTTGCCTGTGAAAATCCATCACCACCACTAAAGCCACTATCCTCTGATTCAAACCCTGGTTTAGCACAGAACACAAAGTATGTGTCCTGTAGTCACTGTACATAGAGGTTGTATACTTTACAGTTTTAAAATATGATGAGAAAAACTAATATGTTTTATATAATTTTTTGATCTATTTATTCATTGAGTGAATAGGCAGGTCAAAAGGAGTTAAGAAAACTGGCTAATACACTGAAACAATGGATTCAGCTATCAAGGGATCATGACAAATACATGCAAAGATTTCCTATCTTCAAATCATTACTACAGGAGATGGCATAATGGTTACTGGAATCTCCCAAGGTCGACTGTGGTTTGAGTACTGGACCTGATGGCTTAAAACTCACACTGGGCACATGTCCGTGCATGCCCAAAATCCCAAGAGGAAAATGGAGGAGAAGGGATTGTGGCATGGCCATCCACAGGGGAGTGATTTCTCACTTTCTGTCTTTCTTTTTCCAGCAAGCACACACACCGTATAGCAAAAATCTCTCTCTTAAAAATAAACAAACAAATAAACAAATAAAATCATTACCAGGACCGGCAGGTGATGTGGTGGTCAAGGGCACTGGACTCCCGCATGGGCGACCACGGTTCAAGTCTCAGATCTGGAGGCTTGCTTTCTCTCTCTCTTTCTCTGTCCCTCACTGGTCAAATTAAAAAATAAATAAATAAAAAATAAAATCATTACCATGTTTACAAAATATTATCTCAAATCTTTTTTAATGTATTATGAAACCATGTTTAACAGCATACCCTAAAATTAGTATTATTTTATAAAAAAGATGACTAACACAGAGATATTTAAATATGTACTTACTCCAATGGCATTTGTTAACTTCTATGTGGATGAAAAAGCAAAATATAAATGTCATATTTAGAATACGCAACAGATATTCATCATCTGCTCAGATATTGGTAGTATATAAACCATATACTTTCCCGAAGGAAAGCCTTCGGTGTTAGAGACTAATCAGATTTGCTTATATTCCTCCTTCAAGTATCTCTTAAGGTGCCTGAGTTATAAACAGTAGCCTAGTAACTATTTCTTTAACAAAATTTGTTGAGAGTTTGTTATACAATGAGGTGTCATTTCATTCTTTAAATTTAGGAAAAATACTTAGAGTGGATTTCTGCGTCAGATTAGAGGAATGAAACTTTGAAATACAATAACCTGCTGAAAAGCGCTTGCACATGCACAAAGCCTAGGAAAGAATGAAATGTACAGAAACCAATTAAGGAAAATAAAATCAAGGTCGCACATCTACAACTCTTAGAGATAAATATTCATTTCTTTTATTCTGCTGAGGTTTTTTTTATTGATTTTTATTTCTTCATTTTAAATAGGCAAAGGTTTCTGGTTTTTTTTTTCCAATTTAGACAAAAAAACAGAGATTATATCATTTTAAGTCATGATATGATTCTAGAGATTTTAATTTATTATGTCTTAGACTCTGATTCTAATAACAATGTAGTGAACTTAGATATGGAAAGGCCCAAAAAAGGTTAAATAACCAGCCCAATTAACATAGTTAGTAGCAGAGGCACAATTTGAACTGAGGCTTTAAAAGTAGTATTTTCTTTCTTTCATTTTTTTTTAAGAGAGATTTTTGCTATAGGGCATGTGCACTTACCAGAGAGACAGAGAGAGACAAAGACAGAAGGTGAGAAATCACCTCCCCTGGCAGGGGGGATGGCCACACCACAATCCCCTCTCCCCCATTCTCCTCTCAGAATTTTGGGCATGCATGCACATACGCCCAGCGTGAGTTTTAAGCTGCCGGGTCTGGGACTTGAACTATAGTCAACTACGTGGGAGTCCAGCGATGTAACCATTATGCCAGCTGCTGGTCCCCAAAGTAGTATTGTCTTAATCACTGCTATTCCTTTTATCCAAAATTCAACATTTCTTATATCATTAGTTAATAAGTCTAATCTTTTGTGCACTTTCTTTTTTGGTCTATCCATTACAGCCAGCAGATGAGTGATTCTAAAAATAGAAAATGTATAGTTTAATATGACAGAATCCAGAAGTAATAATAAATATATTCAATGAATGATACAGCATATGCACCAACCAATCTGAGTGGGCGCCTAACCAATTATTGGGTTGTCAGAAAAGTCATGATGCATTTTTGCATAGAAAAACCAAAAAATATGTCATGACTTTCTCAATGACCCAATAGAATGGGCCTAGTTTTATTCAGAATGTATTACTACTCATTATTCATTGGCTCTAAAGTTGAAATTATTTATGACTGAAGATCAAGTACGTTCATATTTAAATGTATAATTCTTATTAAAAGAATTCATTTACTTCTGAAATTTTCTTTCCACGTATAGGTCAAAAATGTAATGAAAAATATCATGGCTGGATTGCAACAAACCAACAGTGAAAAGATTCTCCTGAGCTGGGTCCGACAATCAACTCGTAATTATCCACAGGTTAATGTCATCAATTTCACCACCAGCTGGTCTGATGGCCTGGCTTTAAATGCTCTCATACATAGTCACAGGTAAGGAACTACTGAAATCCTGAATATTTTTTGTAAGTATTGATTTGCTGATGTATCTTTTTGCCCAGTGTAGTTCAAGATCTTTTCCTATTATGCAATGTGTTATATATGTTGACCGTATGAATCTAACCGCCTATCGGAATGGGCTTATTAAAAATATTTTTTTCTAAATTTATGTGAATTATTTCATTGATAAAATATAAAAGTTATTGGAGCATAAAATGTGTTCTGGTGAAGGGAGAAGGGCAACATAGTTGAAATTGGGACTCTCAAAAACTCCAGGTTGAATTCTAACTTTGCCGAAAATGAGATTGGTCTTTTTGCACAAATAATGTGTTGATATGAGCCTGAACTAAAGAGCTAAAGCTGGTTTCAAACCTCAGCTTAATGGTTGTAGAAAACTTGATTGCCGTCATCAGATAAATAATGTAGAAAAAGAAACATGTGCCTTATGAAATGCACGCTTAGATAGCAAAAACCACAAGGTCCTGTATATTTTCTGCTAATTTAGGGTTATAAGAGGCTCTGAGCATCTTAACAACCAAGGCAAAAAGCAGAACACAATTAATTCTATGACTCACTAGTCAGAATATCAAAAGGAACAATTGCTCTGGAACAGCAAAGCAATTGCTATAAAACAAGCGACTGTCCTGTGGATCTTCATCAAAAGAACTCAGTATAATATAGTGAACCAACATCCTTAACTATACTCTGAGTAATATTATATTTCCAAAGATGACAAAATAGTTGTTTGCCTTTCTTATATAAAGAAGTTCAATAAATGAATTAAAAACAGTTCAGGAAAAAGCAAAACAACATGGGATTATATTTATTTGCTCAGCCCAGGTCAAATGCATTGCCTCATTAACTGAAATGCCACTAGATTGCATCTTTCCAGATTTCATTGCAGGTTATCTTTTCTCACTTTGATTTCTCTCTGTCTCTCTGATGAGTCTTCCATTTTCTTATGCCAGGTTTGCTTTAGAAAAGATCGGAATATAAATTTTCTTCATGGTAAAACTCAATCCGAGAGCAAACACAATCTAAATAAGTATCTTTGGCAGTTGTCTTGCTCCAGCTGGGTTTAATTAACCCCATCTAGACTGGGTTTCCAGGTGAATGACTCAGCAACCTGATTTTAGAAAAGAGGCCAACATGCACCTAATCAGCATGTTAAGTAATGTTAACACATTGTTTTTCTTGAGTCTGACAGTAGAACAATTTTCCATAGCTTCAGTACAGTCAGATGAGAAGGGACAGAGATGCTCATTCTGCATTATAAATCAGCACTCATTTATGCAACCTCATGCCTCACACTAAGGGCTTGAAACGATTGATCTTGCTGTTCATGTACACATTTGCAGATGAACAAAAATATCGAAAATCAGGTTATACAATCCTTGTTGACTCTTTAACATTTCCTCTTCAAGTGGGAGATGTCAATCTTGCAAGAACATTCGCATGCTACATTTGCTACTATTCTATTTCATGATTTCTGAATATATTTGCAAGTAATACAGTAAACATACTCAGATTACCCTGCTGCATCTGTCCCTGACCCGCTCTTTCTCTAAATATCCTCTTTAATATATTCTCCCTTGTATTGAATGAATCATCAGTAGCTCTCTCTTTATAGATCACACAGTTACTTTTCATGAGGTTCCTTACAGTTGTTTAACGCTCTTTCGTGAATCATCTTCTCCTTCTTTTTGTTTTTGACAGATGTTAATATTATTTATCTAAAGCAAAAAAAAAAAAAATGGTTGAACTTTCTGTTCCAAGGTGACTGTCACTGGTACACTAAGGAATGTCATGAGATGTCCTGATTTCAATAATTAAGTGACTAAGCTATATAGAACAAAGCCATGTGCTTAATATAGATCATAGAGAGCGACAAAGGGCTTTGGAAATCAGAAGTTTGATGTTAAAATGTAAAATCCACCACAGAAGAGTTAAAAGGAATCTCTACTCTACTTTCATAGGAAAAACACAATGATAATTGTTAGAAATAAGCTGAAAATGTGGAAATAAAGTTGCAATAACTATAAAGCTACACTTACATCCTCTTCCTAATTTCTTAATTTATAACCACAGCACATACATTTTTTTTTTATCAGACATTAGTGCTGGGGCAAAGGAAAAAAAATGAAACAAAATGTGTTTTCATAATCCAACCTCTACCCCATCACATTCCAGTCCTTAGACTCAGTCACTGTCAGAAACTTCTATTATTTTTCATGATAGATACTATAATAATATATATTATATGTTTTTATTTCTTGATAAGTTGATTTCTGATGTATATTTACTCCCAAACACGAAGCATGTAGATATTACCTGTCATCCCCATCTACTTCTCAACTTTATTTATATATATCATAATCATAATCTTAAGGGTTTTTTTATCTTCAGTACTTCAAAGAATATGAATACATTTTTTATTTTCATCAATTTTATTGTTGCCAAATTTCAATGTATTCTACTCATTATTTACAACAATACCCAAACAAATACCTGGAGATGCAGCATGTTTGTTCACATATCTGAGGCCTAACTGCTTATTAATTAAAATATTGGTATAAGGCCCTGACAACAGTGAAACAAGTAAGGTGGCCCTGGCCTTGGGATGAAAGCATCAATCTTTGAAAGGAATTGTTGACTTTCATTAAGGATAAAGAGATCATCACACTTATTTTTAGACTCTCTTGTTTCTTATCATCTTGCCATTTTGTTATGATGTTATCATTCTTGCATCAACAACATTTGCAACATTTATATCTCTTCTATAAGGATTTGTGTCCTTGGCTTGATTCCATAAATTGAAAATACTATTGTTATGTGAATATAATGAAACTTAGAAAAGGGTGATAGAGATGGTTTTTAAATGATTAATATTTTGTAGATACTCTTCTGAGTAAAATATCCCATCTATTTCTCATGACATAGATAGAATAATTCTTCCTATTTTATAAATTGGAAAGCTGAGGCACAGAGTGATTTATATAAGACCATCTTGCTAACTAACATGTGGTAGAGCCAGGATTTGATATGCTTAGTCATGATGTTGATTTCCTTAGAAGTCTGGTGATCCTTGGTTACATGTTCTTATTTTATGAATTATGGTATAGGTTAGCACAGGTATCTATGTGGTTTTCCAATATAGTTGGTTTTTTTCAATTTTTATGCCTTTGAAATACACAGCTTTTAAAATTTTCATTAATTAACTTTATTTAAAACAATTAGATTTATTTTTAATGCTAGAAGTGACCTTAGATGTCATTTAGTACAATCCTTTTATAAATGAAAATGCTGAAGCTGAAAAATATTACATGATTAGGTAAGATAACCCCTTATTCAGGTAGTTAGCCAGTGGCTAAGGGGAACAAGAGGAATGGAAAAGGGGTAGAATGTGCAAGCAATTCTATTTTTTTCCTCATCATGCTCATTTAGCCTTGTTTACTGTAACCTAGGTGAGAAAACTAGTTTTCCACATACTCCACCTATATTCTTTCCTACACCCATTCCTTAGAAATGAGAAAATAAAGATGAGGCAGAGTTTGCATAGTGAAGTTGAAACTACCCCAAATAGTCCAGAGTTTCATTTTTAATTTTTATTTCTTGTATCGTTCCCACTACTGGAGACATTCCCAATTTGTACACATTTTAGGCTCCAAAAGATTGTTAGCTGTTTGAGATAATTTGGAGTATCTAGGTGGGATTAGATTTCCTAATATATAATATTCTGGTGCATTAATCAGGGTGGGAAGAATTGAAGAAAAGGGAATGAAAAATATATTTATACCGTTGTGTTTAATTGCTGTCTTTGAAAATAACAGCTAGTCTACCTTTGTAACTTCTTCCCTTATGTAGCATAAATTCTTAAGCAGGAGTCTAATGACAGACCCAGATGTCCCAAAATATTGGGTTGTTGGGGAAGCTATGAGGTTTTTTCTATGCAAAAATGCATCATGACTTTCCTAAGACCCATAGGATGTAAATTGTATTTACAGATATGGATAGGTATTTGTCTGTGTAGAAGTTTCTTTTCTCTTGTCAGATTCTCAAAGATGTCTGTGATCCACAGAAGTCGATTTCCAATATTACTGAGATAAACTATCATTTCTAATAGGTTTTTGCCTTAGGACCATGTGCTCACAGGAGAGAGGGAGAGAGAGACATAGACAGTGAGAGGGGAAGTGAGAAACTATCTCCCAGGGAGAATGGCCACACCACAATTCCATCTCCTCCATTCTTTTCCTGGGATCTTGGGCATGCTTGCACTCGGCCTCGGAGTGGTTTTCAAGCCCCCAGGTCTGGGACTCAAACTGTGGTCGGCCATGTGGGAAGCCAGCGACATAAGCTCTACACCATTTGCTGGTTGCTGTGATAAATTATAACTTTTTAGCATGATCCTTAGGCAAACTTATACCAATCTCTCTTCTAACCATATCTCCCACTACTTGATACTTGGAATCTTCCAGTGGGGCCAAGCCTGTGAGATCTTAATTACCTGAGCTTTTTTTCTGTTTTTTTTTTTTTCTTCTCTCAGACTTTGATTCTCTAATAGTCATACAACCTATATTTCTACTCTCAAATGCTTTTTAAAATCTAAACACAAGCCATCATTTAAGATTCCCTTAAAACTAAAAAAAAAAAAAAAACCTTTTCTAATCTCTTCAGATTTTAGAAAACCTTTTATCTTATTTATATTTTTTAGAAAAAAATTATCCATTTTTTAGAAATCATTATATCTTATTATCTATATTTTTTCCAAATTTAGTTCTTTATTTTTAAATTTTTCCAGAGGATGTGCACACTCATCAGAAAGAGAGAGAGAGAGAAAGAGAGAGAGAGAGAGAGAGAGAGAGAGAGGAAGAGAAGAAGAAAGCCCTCCCATTAGGAATGGTCATGCCACAATCCATTCTCTCTCCCCTAGTTTCAATATTTGGGACACACAAATGTCCAATCTTTTTTTTTTCCAGCTACAGAATCTAGAACTCAAACTCTCTGGTTGGCCATTTGGGATCTAGCTGCATTAACCATTAGGCCACAGAGATAGCCCTCACATTTAAATTTCAATTTATCATGGTCTATAAAATTTTCTTCCACCTTATATTTAAATTTCTTACACAATAATAAATGCCTCTTGCACTCTTTTGTGTTTCCTCTATTATCAAGTAAAATGAGATTCATATATTGTAGTATGTGCTCATGCATTCTCTACTGTAGTTGACAAAGATTTATTGGGCCCCTACTATGTATCAGCATATGATAGGTTTCTAGCTGTGAGTCATAATGGAAAAACTATTGTACATTCTAATGGGGGAGACAGATTAAATTATGTAATATGTTAAATAGTAGTAAGTGCTAGTGAGAATAATATAAAGTAGATCAGCTGAAAGAAAATGAGTATTTATAAATATACATTGACTCAGGACATGCGACATCAGATAGAGATAGGGCAGGGAAGGACTCAACAATAATGTGATTTTTTGAATAAGGATCCTGAGGAAATAGAAAAATGAGCTGTGTTGATGTCTGGGAAAAGAGAATTCCAGGCAAGTGGAACATCAAGTGAAAGTGTAGGCAACTATTGTATCTACCTTGCTTGTAGACTATGAGGAGAGAGGCAAGAAATAAAATCAGAGAGTTAATTGGGAGCCAGACCATGTTGAGCCTTGTAGCTCACAGTTAAATATATGATCTTTACTACTCGTATAGCAGAGATTTGAGAAGAAGGATATGATAAAACATATGTTAACAGATTACTGTGGCAGCTCTGCCGAAAATAGATTAACAAGGTCAGGGGCAGGGAAAAATGGATCATTTGGGGGCTATTGCTATCATCCATTCAAGATAAAATGATATTTTAGATTAGGGTGATGGCAGAAAGGAAAATTAGAAGTTGTCAAATTTTGGATATATTTTCAACTAAGTGTTGTGTGAGAGTTAAAGAGTCATCATGGATGACTAAGCGTTTTCATCTGAGCGACTGCAAGTTTGAATTTGATTCTTCAGGAAGGAAGACTTGCATGTGAAATAGGTGGGCTTGGAGGAGTGTGATAAGGATAACTATCAGAAGCCAGGTTTTGGACTTGACACTTGCAGACTAAGTGGAGATACTGAGTAGGATGAAGCTAGAGTATGAAGATCAGGAAATAGGTCTAGTGCATTCTCATAAAATTGGGATTTATCAGTAAGTGGTTGATATTTAAATCTACAACATTGGATGAAATATACACATTTAGTTGCTCTTGTGAGGTAAAATAAAATCTTCTTTGTTTTCTTCAGTATTTTTTTAGTGAAAAAATAATTACATTTAGTGGCCTTCAGGTGGTGTGATGGCTAAGGCACTGGACTTCCATGTGGCTGAATGCGGTTAGAATCCCGGACCTCGCGTCTTGCTTTCTCACTTTCTCTCATGCTCTGGTCAAATTGACATGTACTCACTAGAGAGAGACACACAGAGAAGATGAGGGTGAGCACAATAGTGAGGGTAAGAGGGAGAGAGAGAGAGAGAAAATGAGAAAGCAAGCCACCAGGTTCAGGACTCGGACTGCTGTCAGCCACATCGGAGTCCAGCACCTTAACCACGACACCAGTCTGCTGGCCCTAATCAGTGTACATCTTTACAGCATACAAAATGAATTTTCCCAACATGAATACACTGTATATTAGTCCAGTCAAAGATATTACCATACATATTATCATCAACAGATAATTTTCCATTTTTGTGTCCGTTAAATATTTTGCTTTTTTCACCATTGATTCTCTCCCTCCTGTCCCCCACTGCCCCCCCTCCTCCTACACTATCTCTGGTATCCATAGTTGCTCTCTTTTCTTTTATAGCTACCAACCTTTCAGTTTCTGCCATACAGTGTAGACATTTGGTATATATTAAGTGGGGACATACAATGTCTCTCTTTCACAGTCTGGCTTGCTTCACTTAGCATTTCTTTTTATCCAGCCTTATCGAGGTATAATTGACAAAAATGTATATATTTAAGATGTACAGCATCAAGATTTTTAATTAAAATTGTGACTTGTTTACATGAGAAATTTTATGGGGGGAGTAATGAACAAAAGTCTTAAGGACTTACAGGTATGGGTTGTCAGTCAAAATTCAAAATTGATGTGAATCCCATGGATAGATCAATTTATATTTATCTTTGTGTGTGTGTGTGTGTATGTGTTTCAGGCCAGACCTGTTTGATTGGAATAGTGTTGTTGGTCAGCAGTCAGCCACACAACGACTGGAACATGCATTCAACATTGCAAAATATCATTTAGGCATAGAGAAGCTACTCGATCCTGAAGGTTGGTACATTTATGGACTACTGCCATAAAATCTAATGTTTTCATTTTAGTTTGTTTTCTTTCTCAGACCTGACATTTCCACATATGAAATATAAAGTAGAAAAACTGTATGTGTTTTCTATGTTTTAGGCATATTTAAAATGTTCTTTTTTCCTGCAACATATTATAAATGTTCCTTTCTGCTTTTAGTTTTCAAAATACTGATATCTAAAACTGAAGTGTAAAACTTGGGGGAGGGGGAACAAGCCTTTGGAATGTATATGCCTCATGACTGAAACTGCATTTGGAATACATTGCCTCCAAATAGTTCTTAAAAGTTAATGTTTTGCTTATTCTACCAAGAGATTTGATAGACTAATCAGCTATAATTAATTAGCTACTCTTGCCAATTTCATTCATATACTCCATGAAAGGCAACATGGTTTACTATTTAAATCAGGAAATCTATTCCTGGCACTGCTTCTGTTATAATTTGTCACTCAGGGGAGGTCCTCATTTGGATAGTTGTTCATTTTCTGCTTCTTTAGTTGACAGGCAGCACTTTATTTTTATTTGTATGATATTACATTTAAACAACTTTCATCCTTATCTGTGCTGCTACATGGTCCTACCTTCCTGACACATGGATTACAGGAAAAATACATTCTGACCTCTGCTCTTCTCGTCTCTGAGGCACTTTTTTGAGGTATACTAAGCTTAAAATTACAGATGCTGTTCTCACTTTTTAAAGACCTTTCCACATTCTAACATTATACAGATGCTGTTCTCACTTTTTAAAGACCTTTCCTTATTCTAACATTAGAAGTTGGAGAACAGTGAGTGGGATTGATATCTGCAATTGAGTAGGAACTGACATTTGGGTTGAAGCTGAGATATAAAATAAGTTGGTAAGGCAGGGTTCTTTAGAATACTGAATGAATTTCAAAGCAGAAGATCCTTGAGTGGTGGTGGTAGGTCCTATCAAGTAAAGCTTAGAAATAACTGAGGGATAGCTTTTCACCATTGAATTTATTATTAACCCGAATCTAGTGCTTAGTGTTACAGACCCAGAAACATGATTGCCTCAGCTCTTCTAGCAGATCCATATTGGGGATAGTTGGAGTTTATGTTAAACAAGCTCAAAAAGTGATAAACAACATGAACCTTTTGTAATTATAAATGAGATATTTATCTCAAGAACTAGAATACTCACATCTAATCGAAGAGAATATATTGGAGAAAGCAAATAATAACCACAAAAATGTGAATTTCTGAGGGGAGAATTAGATTAAGGTCATTAGAAACTTCTTTTCTCTTTTGGATAATGTATGACTGAGCATTGACTCCTGTAACCCCTTTTTGTTACCTGTATCAATAATTCACATCCCTCCTACCCTAGTTTTGAGCTCTGTGGGGGAAATTGTATTAATCATAGGTCCTTATTTTGTAGCATAAGGGAAGGTCACATCATAGTTGACTCTTAGTACTGATTCACGTTTTGTCTTATTCAAATAGGATAGACATAGCAGGCATACTAAAAATATGGACTCCGGGATCAGCAGATGGCGTAATGGTTATGTTGCTGGACTCCCAAATAGTCAACCGCGGTTCAAGTCCCAGACCCAGCGGCTTAAAACTCATGCAAGATGCATGTGCGTGTGTGCCAAAAATCCCAAGAAGAGAATGGAGGAGAAGGGATTGTGGTATTAGACCACCCCCTCCCAGGGGGTGATTTCTAGCTTTCTGTCTCTCTGGCCAGCACATGCGCCCTATACCAAAAATCTCTCTCAAAATAAATAAATAAAATTTTAAAAATGGACTCCTACTCCTAAAGAGTTAACAGTGTATGGATTTCAAGAATGAGCTTGTTAATATTTTTATTTTTCATTAAAACCATACATGATGGTTAGTTCCTGCTGTCCAGGATATAAGCTATAGTTATTTCTGTGTATTCCCTATCCTTTTATAAAGTAGTAAGAGTGGGTTTAAAATACATCTTTTTCTTATTAAGTGATAGTATAGCTTTTGACCTCTAAGCCCTCTGAATCAATGGTTAAGAATACCTAGAAGGGCATTCACATCCTAATGAGAAAGTAGATTGATGAGCTCATAATCAGAAAAAAAAATACAGTTACATGAATAAAATATTAAATGGCATAAAAGAACCTAATATACCCAACACCTTATGCTCTCCTAAATGGAAAATATGTGTTGAAATGTACATCCTATAGCCTATAGGAACACCATTATAATAAGCTTGAACAATTCATAATCAACCAAATATATGAAGTATGTACTGATTTATAGAGATCCAACTGCTGCTTATGGTCTCATTTTGCTAGTAAAATTTCATATCTCAAACACCCTTTCTATTTATGGGCTCTCTTCCAATTCAAAGAGCATTCTGTCTCCTAAAAAGGTTTATTAAAGTCTAATTATGGCTGTCAATAAGATGAGGTTTCAGCATAAGTCTTATATTTTTAGATATCTGTCAGTTCCTGCGAGTGTGTTAGGGGAATGCCCAAATATGCATTTAAAAATTGATACCTAGTATTTTTCATGAGATGATATCAATAATGACTGAAAGAAATTAATTAAATTATAAGAATTTTTATGTACTGATTAGTTACTTACATAAGACAGAATACCATCTCTTGGCATCTCAGACTAATAACACTTTCTTCAATGGATCTGGCAGAGGAGATTTATAGATTTCTTTCATGCCCTGAGAAATTCATATGTTTATTTAACTAAATATTGATTCATTAGCTTATGCACGATGGTATCAACTCTTCTTTCAAGCAATATTCATTTCCCATGTATTATGACTGTTAAGAGGCAAATGAAACATTTTGTTTTATGTTTGGGAAGATTTCTATTATTGGGGACTGAAGATATATTGCTTAAGAAATACCTGCCAAATAATAGTTTCATTATCTTAAATAGATGCTTTGTTTAGTGGGTTGATTTATAAATTAAAAAGTCATTGAAACATTGGAAGATTTCATATCTTGCATATATAGGCTTTGGTATGCTTTGTTTGGCATTAACTGGTGTTTTGGAGCCTGGGGTTTGGTTTTAGTGGAATTGCCTTTTAAAATGAGTAGCAGTAGTCATTAGCATAAGCAATTTCAGGAGCTGTTTTTAGTGTGCTTAAATGTTAACATATGCAAAAATAAGTATATATAGAATAGAATTATTTAATAATTTATGAATCTTTATGCTCATAGATATAAAGGGTTTATTTTCTTCAAACAATATCTTCTTGTGAATCAGGAAATCTTTTCACTATCATGAATTCCCTTTAAGATATACATTGTACATGCATTGTGGCTTTCAGATACCTTGTTTGCTTCCCTGAGTTTCAAATAAATTGGTTTGTTTGCCAATCCACAAAAAAAACTCTATAGTAAGAGAGTGCTTTGTCAGCTTTTCCTTGCAAATAACAAAGTAAAGATGTTCTCTTTAAAAGAGTAAAAAAAAAAAAAAAAAACAGGATAAAACATCCTGTCTGTTCTAGATGACTTCTGCATATTACTGCAAAAAGCCATTTCCATTTGCCTACGCAATACCATACAGAAATGCCCTGACATATGCACCAGAGTAACTTCAGAATGAAAAATGAATGATGACAGTCAAATTTGACTAAGAAAGAAAGAACACTAGGACTTGGGAGAAATTTTTGTATCCTCAAAATGACATTTTTACGAGCCAATTAGAGTTTGGTTTTAATCCACTTCATTTTGACTTCATGAGGATCATGACACAGATTCTATTTTCTGCTTGGCTAATCCCTGCATCACTATTCAGTTGTTTTTAGAGTCTTCTTTTCTAAGAATTAGCTCTGCCTATTGGAAAGTTTTATTCCTGAAGTGAATGGTTTCAGAGTTCACATTACTGGTTTGTTGGGTTTGAATTTTTAAAATATATTCATGGAAAAATATGTAGTATCTGCTCTAAAGAGAATACTGTTTAGACCTTTTATTTAGGTATGATATCAACTGTTTGAGCAAGGGCTGTTTTTATTTTCTTCTGTCTTTGTTCCACATATCACCTTTTGATAGGAATTTTAATAAATAGTTCATACAAGTTAAACTTACAGCAATTCAAATGGACCGTTATTAGAAATTTTAGAGTGATTTAAGTTACTGTTAATATGAACGGCCTCAGCTCCAGCCCCAGCACCCCAAAGCCCAGAGACCTCTATCTCTATCAGCCAAGACCACCCTCAGCTCTACAGCAGACCCCACTTCCATCTCCAGACCCCTGGCCTAAGGGACACTGAGGCAGGACCCCCTGTCCTAGCTCCAGTCCCAGCACCCCCAAGCCCAGAGACCTCTACCTCTGTTAGCCAGGTAGACTTTTTTTTTTCCCCTTCTCCTCTTCTTTCATTTGTAAATTTCACACTTCTTACCACACAGGACTGCCCTCAGCTCTACAGCAGACCCCACTTCCATCTCCAAACCCTCCTTCTTACTTTCTTCCCTATTATTTGGTCCTCTCTTCCTCTTTCTCTACCTTCCCAGACAGTCTAGATAGGCCTAGAATCACAGTTCGGAAATATTCTAGTATTGTAAGGCTCCCTGGGTTCTCCATTTTACTGAACCACCTGCAAAAAAGGAGATACTGTTCTTCAGACACCTGAAGAGAATACTCCTCTTTGGACCACATTGGTAAACACAACAGAAGAGAGACTTCGGCAGTCTTCAGTCCACAGCAAAAGGGAAACACACTTGCTCCTAGTCAAAGAAACATTCTCTTAAAAGGTATTCCAAAGTGAATACATCTACCAGTGGCTAGACACTTGTTTCATATAATTTAGATTGATTTTTTCCTAGAACCCTTTGTCGAAGATGTTTTTTTGGCATAAAACATAATGAGGTTGTAATATATCGGTTTTCCTCTTGTGTACAGGATTTTAACTAGAAATTATTACTATAAAATCTCAGAATATTTACAGCCAACCTTGCTACAGTAAAAAATGTTATTTTTCCACATATATTTGAGAAAGATTTTAGTAA